CTCTCCCCATATTTTTTTTATATATATGTTTGTTTGTTTGATGGTGGTTTTTTTGTTTTGTTTTGTTTTGTTTTGTTTTTCTTCTCCTGCCCCTCCCCCTTCAGAGAGCGGAAGGCCGCAGCCTCCTCTCCTCACAGCCACGTGCTGGGTTCTGTTTGGACCTCAAGCCGTTTCCTCAGCACCCCCTCCCCCTGCTGCGACACTTCCTGGGCGCTCAGGCACGTGGGCAGCCCGAGCCTGCTGCCCTCCTCCCCTCTGCAGGAGCTCCCGAGCGGGCAGCCCCCTTAGGCTGCAGAAAGCCTGAAGAAAAGCCAAAGTCAGTTCCCAGAGCAGAGCTGCTCCCGCTGCCTCCTCTCCTCGCAGCTGGAGTCTCGCTTTCTTTAATGCTATGATACTATTTGAATTTTATAAAGATTCGATCAATCTAAGGCAGAATCCAGTGATGATTCTATCTATTGCAGCAATGCTGGCCATCTAACATAATCTTCATTTATTCAGGACAGAAATTGAACAGAACTCAATTTGAAAGCTCAGTCAGTAGTTTTAGGTTCAAATCCGTCTGCTGGGGCCCGTTGAAATAAGTGTTCTTCTTGTGTCTTCTGTCCTTGGGGCTTCCCCGGAGCTCAGTTCTATTTCTATAGGTCTCCCCTTGTTGTATCACTCACCTCTTTCTATAGCATAAGGTAGACCAGTGCATCACAGTAAATGCTTGGGATCCATGGGTGTGTAAAGCATTTGACCTCAGAAAATGAAAAGTGAAAATGTATTGCAGCAGTCCAAACCCGGAAGTCTGTGGGATAGGGACAGAACTACAAGTGTTTCCTTGGCTCCTGCTATGGAAGCTAAGCTTGACCAGAAAAGAGGGCAGGGAAATTGTCATCTGCATGTTTAGCAAGAAAGGAGACAATAGAGAAATTTAATTAAATAATGGTAATTTCTATAATGTTTCACCATTTCTATTTTTCAAAACAACGTTTTTATACAACCATTATCAGAATCTTGTATTGGCTGAGATAAGTCAAGCCTAAAACTTCTGAAACATTTAAAAGCAGAGATATCACAGAGTCTCTCTTAACCCCAGAATTAATCATTTTAATGAATGACATTTCAACATGTGTTCTGCTGTTTGGGCTGAAGAAATTGTTTTTTATTTTTAAGCTTATTTTATCTGTCATTTTTGCTGATACTGTGGAGATGTCACTCTTCCATTATAAACTTGCCCAAAATGGAGGGGCTCTTCCCACCCCTCCATATCCAATTGCTACAACTCAGAGTTTGATTCAGTGCTCTGTTGTTACAAAGACTTTTAAATTTTTCCCTGCTACAAACAGATTTAGAAATGAACACGATATATATGCTTGAGAATAATTGTATTCTTATTTATGGTTGTTATCAAATTACTTGTACTGCTTTTTAGTGGTTTTTGGATATGTTTTGGTTTTTTTTGTTTTTTTTTAAGTTGGAATGCTTCAAGCCAACAGTTTTAAATGTATTCTACAGCAAACTCTTCCAGCTTGGAATATACTGAAGAAACAGACGTAGATCCTCAGATTCAAGCAGCTATAAAGAAAATGAATAAACTTGATGCAATACTGGCAAAAAAGCATTTTAAGGAGAGAGCAATTAAAAAACAAGGCAAAGAAATGAGGGCAAAGTTCTGGGAAGAACTTCAGGTTTGAAAGTGTTCTGCTTAATTTATAAATACTGCATCTTAGAGTACTGTCTTTCAAGATTGTATTTCACGGACACATTGTTTTATTAAATAACTTGTTGTTGGCTGATTAAAGTGAAGAAATGGATCTTAAAAAGTAACTTTGAATAGGGTTTAATATACATTGACTAGACAGCCTTTGAAAGGAGGCTGTGGTCCTAAAACCTAGAAGTGTTTATTTTCCTCTTGTGTGGTGGTTCTTAGGCCCCTCTGTGCCAGTCCTGTCCATTACTGAAGAAGGTAGAGATGCCCCCTGAAGAAGGCATGAGAACACAACAGCACAAAGTCCTTCATATTATCTCTTTCCTGGAGTCCAGCAGTTAAATGTTACTTTAAGCCCTGAAATATGGGAATATTTTCTGTGAGGTTAAGTGTTGTGTAATTTAAGTGAATACAAACATCAGTTGCTGAGAAGACATGGTTGCAATTGGTTTGACTGCATCTCATATTTCGGTGGGCTGGGAGGCAGAGCCATACATACATTACAGAACTCCTTTGTCTTGTGGAGTGCATCTCTTTGTAAGAGACAATCTATAACAGAGGCTTTAAAGTTGCACCATGCCTTTATCATAACTTTAGAAGGTGTTCAGGTAGCCTCAAGAAGAAAATAAAGCAGTAAATAAATATTGCCAGTGAGCGATGAGTTTTTAATAGGGTCTAAAGTTCATTAAACTTGCTAAGCAGATGTGTTTTGCTTTAAAGTATTTACTTTAAGGTATATAAATATATGTATGTATATGTATATTTATGCTTTATTTCTTTCAAACAGTCTATTAGAAGCACTGGAAGCCGTGAGGAGATAGAAAACACAAACCTTTTTTTATCTTTGATCTCATCATGGCAGGATACAGCTGGTAAGTAAGAAGAAGATGTAACTACCCTGATATAATTATCCTGTATTTTGATTAATACCAATATTTTTGTATGATACTATAAAAATAAAGCTTTCAGACCTTTACAGTAAAAATAATATTTACAAATAAAAGTACATCAAGGGAATATTTGAGAAATTAACTGAAATATTTTTTGCATTTTCACCAATATAGATGATGTACTTCGATTTTATTTATAGGAGCTATGTTTTTTCAAAGAACTATCTACTCTATAAGGGTAGAAGTCCAAGATAAGAAAGCTTACATTTTTCAAGTTGATGGCAAACACAGATTATTTCAGAAAACACGCCCAACTGATAACACTGGCAAATTAAAGTTGTGATAGGAGGTATAGGGAAAGCAAGTAAGGTGGAAGCAATGGCAGTGCCACGGTGAGGATCTCACAATATGACAGGTCCAGAGGGAAGGAAATCCTGAGCCTTTTTAGAAATTGTTGACAGATGAACCAAAAGAATGGGACCGAATTATGATACCAATTTATATGTCAGAAAACAATAGAGGAAGCTGTGTGCATAGCCCAGGTCTTGAAACATAGTCCAAAAGGGAGTATGGACAGTTTACGTTTAATTTGATATTGATTATGTTACACTTAATTCAATTCTGAAAGAATTTAAGATTCTGAACGTGAGAGAGAATTTGAGTAAAAGGAATCTTGCTTCAGGAGGCAGTTTAGTGTTCATGGTGGTGTTAGGTTGGTGGTTGGACTTGATGATCTTAGAGGTCTTTTCCAACCTTAATAATTCTATGATTCTATTCTATGATTCTAGGATCATCAAATAATATGGACTGTCATTCTAAGGCTAGGAATATGAAGTATGAACTTAGTTTTCTTAATTGACTTTTTTCCTGAGAAAGGGAAGAAAATTTCTAGGGAAGAAAATTTAAGAGAGATGGCAGTTTTAAAAAAAGTGAAACTATGTTAAAGATTTGTTAGCGGACTATTCTCAGGGAGAAAGGACCAGGAAGGCTGGTAAGATAATTTCTGAGTTTCCTTATGATATGACAAAGACAAAAATATTCAAGGTGGAAATAAAAACACCAGTAAGAATTTTAATCTTTTATTTAAAGTCACTTCTTAAGGAGCACTTAAACCACCAAATTCTATAGCTACTAAAATTAGGCAAATGTCTAGTGAAGGATTGAGTTCTTTAACAGGAAAGGTAAACAAATAGGTAATGATACAGAGACATGTGGAAGGTGAAACATACCAAAAAAACTATCATCAAAATTACAGTGAATACTGATAATGTAAATCTATAGGTAGAATAGTGAAATAAAAGTTTTAAAACTATTTAGAAATATTTTTTCTATTGAGTTGGAAGGACACAATTGTGTTGGAGTTTTGAAGCAAGTGGTTGAACTACATTCTGAAGTATTGGTAGTTTTCTTCAAGAATGCACAGAGGATGTATTTTAAAATGTCCTTTTTCTTACCATGGCTGGACTTTTGCTGGGGAAGACACTGGAACGAACTGTAGTCATTCTACTCACAATGCCTTTATTGAGGGGGAAGAAAATCAGGCTGAATTTGTCCAGAATATATTGTGCAAAAAATTCTTGAGAGTGGTTTTAAAGAGTTTGCTGTTTGAATACTCTGTTTTGGTGCTGGAGTTCTCAGAGTTGTGTCGATCATATGCACATTTTGCATGCTGTCCTTCATCTTGGTTGAAAAGAAAGAATATTGCATTCTGTGTTTTCTTCTTGTTGGAGAGAGAACAAGGATTTGAGATCTGAATGGTTATTGCTGATCAAAAATCTCAATTAGAACGTTGGAAGTACATGCATAATAATGGTAGTAGCAGTGTGTGGCTCGGACATTCCAACAAAACTGATTATTACAAGGTAACCTGGTTTTATTTCTATGCTGAAGTTTGTTTTATTAAGGGAAGAACACAGAATTTGATCTGGGTGATATTTGAAAAGTCTCCAGTAGATGTCAGGGTATAGTAAAAAAAACAGTAGGCAAGGAAGACTATGGCTGTAGATGAACTCCATGCTTCAATTCCCTTTTATCTCCAAGGTAAAACCATGCTGTAGAGTTCATGTGCATCATGTGGGTTCTGGTCTACTGTACTGGCAAAACTCTGTGTAGTTTAGCTTTATATTTTTCCTCCAGCCTGATCTTTATTTTGAATTTTCTGTGACATGCTAATGTCTTACTTTCAGGTCTTATTTATTTGAACAATTGCCTTGATAGCTGTCCTGGTTAATACTGAAATGGAATGCAATTAATATATTTTGCTTTTCAGAGCTTCATTAAATAGTTTATATAGGAGAATTATTTAATTATAGCTTTTAATGTGGCTGTGAAATAAAACACACGTTCCAGGTACAAAATCATTAATAACTAATGTGTCCCAGCTTCTCAGGCACAAAGGAACCTCTGAGACACTCAAGGCAGAAATGTAAACCAGGAGTTGATTAAACAGCCTTAAATTCATTCCCCTGTGCTCTATATGACAAAAAGTATAACTTTTAATTTAGTCCATTAAACTTCATTATTATTATAGGATGTTGGTTGTTTTTTTCATTGTGAGAAACACGTTTTTCATATGTGTTGTATATGGGTCTTTGCCATACCAGCCCTTTTCTGTAAGTGCTAAGTGTATAGACTGCACGTTAATACTCCAACTTGTACTTCCAGTTGATGCATGTCAATACCATGACTGATTTCTTTTTTTTCTTTGAGTAACTGAAAAAACTCTTGCATGATAGGATATTTGAACGTTTTTTTTGTAGACAGTACTCTTGATCTAAGCCATTTGGAAGTTACTAATTAATGCATACGTAGACACAGGGTGTGAAAACCTGGATAATCTGTTCTCATTCAGAGTTCTAGAGGACTTGCCACATGGTATCTAGAGAGGCTTTTGAACTTTAGGGCCTTGGGCTGTATCTTCAAGAATGTAATTATTTGTCAGTAGTTGGGCAGTAGCTGTTAAAAAGAGAAGCAGCCATATGAAACAGCATAATTATTCATGAAACACACCTTACACTTTCCCCCTTTATTCTTGAGAATATGGTGGTTATGTAATTTATCTAAGTAAATTTTAACTTTCATCTGTGAGATCTTATAGTATGATACACATGAAATTAGATCTTCTTTAAGTACATTTCAATTAAATTTTACGGAAAAAAATTCCTTGCAGATCCCTCACACGCTGGAGAAGGTAAAATATGTGCTTCAGTACTTCACACACAAGTTAATCCAGAAGATTATAACTGCCATAAAACCCAACGGAATCAGGGTAAGCTTTAGTAATTGTATAGCTTGGGTAATGAAGGCTTGGCCTTCGTGGCTAGGCCAATGAAATCAGAGGAAACAAGGTTGCTTAATGGCATGATAGAAGAGAATAGTTTTGTCTGTGACTTATCTAAAACATTTTACTCAACACGGTAAGAAAGTTTTTACTTTCAGGTTTATAAAACTTTTTTTCTTTTGTTGCAAAATGATGATGTGTGCAACTGATTCATTGTAAAATGTATCATTGGTTCTTCATGGAGATTCTTTAAAAATTTGTCTCTGTTGTTATTCTAAGGTACTGTAACTTTAATGAGCTTCTATTGTAGAAACCATTTAAAAATGAAGAGTGGTGCTGTATACAGTTTCAACTGTTCTTTAATTTTTATGTTTTCAGGAGAAATCGTGTGGATGTTGTGACAAACCTAAATCTTCAGACAACTCATTTTGCATTTAGTTATGCTGATTACCGTAAAGGCTGCGTTGCTTTTATGGATTAAGTACTTTCTGGCAAAAATCAAATATCTGCACTGAATCTTTTAGACATCACTTATGTACACGGTATAGAGGTTTCAAATGCTGGTAGTAGTGTAGTGTGTCCAGCACTTCCAAAATAAATGGAA